ATGATTATGGATGTCAGTGCATTTTTTATTTGAAAGACAAACTTCATTAAAAGTAGTTTTAGCATTTTATTTATGATTAAAGTTTTATGTTTTAGTGGAATATTTGTATATAAATGTTTTCAACAAATTACCAAATCAGTGACAATTTATGGAACATGAAGAGCTGAATTAATAAATTCATTTGAAGAGAAAAAAAAAGTAGTTTTAGTGCTAGAAATAGTGCAGTACTAAGGGATAAAAGGACATAATAATAACCCCAATTTATTGCACAATTACTATGTGCTGGAACTCTGCTGAGCACTTTACTTAATACGTTAAATCCTCACAATAATGTTATGAGGTGGTCATTATTACCATGTTTTTTTTGTTTGTTTTTTGGGTTTTTTTGCTGTACGCGGGCCTCTCACTGTTGTGGCCTCTCCCGTTGCGGAGCACAGGCTCCGGATGCGCAGGCTCAGCAGCCATGGCTCACGGGCCCCGCCGCTCCGCAGCATGTGGGATCTTCCCGGACCGGGGCACGAACCCGTGTCCCCTGCATCGACAGGCGGACTCTCAACAACTGCGCCACCAGGGAAACCCCATTACCGTGTTTCATAATTGGGGAAATTGAGGCTCAGGATGTTTAAAAAAAAATTGCCAAGATTTACCGTAGTAAATGGGACTCTAGCCTAGACTATGTATTTGAAAATCCTTGCTTGTAACAACTATAAAAGATAGACTTACATGTTGTAATCTGCAATTCTTAGATTATTTTTACTCCCTCTTCAGGAATAAGGTAATTGAGAAAACCGTTCTTTGACAAGGTTTGCAGGGTTGTGAAAAGCAAACCCAGAACTATAACTAAACTGTAACTATAACGTATTCTTATTCCTTCCAGCCCAAGTCTTTCTACCCTCTCCTGTTCCCTCTGTGTCTACATACTGGATTGTCTTCTGACTTAGCGTAGCTCCTGGGATTATTTCTGTAGGATGCACCTCCCATGTATATGCCTTAAGAAATTCCACATTTTTATTGGGACGTTTGAAATTTGAAAGCTTCCAAGATGTCAGTGGACTGATTGGAAACTCTAGAGATTTTTGATAGAAAGGGCTTTTGAGTATACAAATGAATAAACCAGAGAAGGGCAGCTGTGTTTAGAAAGAGGCTTTATAACAGTCCAAGGCAGAATTTATTAGGTATTCCCTCTAATGGGTTCCATAAAATATTCTCTCAGTTAATAAGTGAAAGATCATCTCTGTAGCTGAGAAGCCTGCAGATTCTGACTCAGATTTATTAAAAACGCTGAAGCTCGTTAGTAAGTCAGCAGATACGATGCTGCTATCGTGTGCCGAATTCTTGTCCTCCGCAGGTTTCTAAAAGCTTTACGGCACGAGGTCGTGGTCCTTGAAGAAGAGCAGCTAGAGTGTTTACTATTGCTAAATGCCATGTTCCTCCTGCTACGTTGCCAGCTCCATCCCTTGAGAACAGACTGTAAAGTCAGCCGAGCTTTTCAAAAGCTAAAATCCTTTGCCTCGTCATCTAGTTTCCCATCTCACAAAATAGGGTTTCTCTTGCGCGTCAGCAGTGGCTTAGGGGCAAGGCAATGCTAATTGACTAATAAAATCCCTATTTGATGTGGTAATTGCTGCATTCTTGCTAAATCACGGAGCCCAGGAGGTGACTCCTGGTCACCTCACTGTGCATAATATTAATTGAACTGCCACTGCCTCGGGCTGCAAACTGAGATTTACTGAAAATTCTTTCCAGTTATAGGATCAAGATCAGATGGGAGTTTTAGTTAAGAAACAAACAGCAGGTAAAGCGCCTTCCATCATCAGCTGTGGAAAATCTGCTTTTTCCTCTTCATTATTTCCTCAGCAATGTTAACTAGGAAATAAAATTCAAAGAGCACTTTAACTTTCTTTATGGCAATGTTTCTCCACTTTACAATTCATAATTTTTCTTTTCGTTAATGTCTAGCTTCAAAATTCTGTGATCTATAGTAAAATGGCCTTTATTTAACTACAGTAAAGTATACTTTACTTAATTTTCTTTAAGACGAGTCTTTTCCTTTCAAATCACTGATTTTCTTCCTTCCCTTATGCTTTTTAATGGCATGCGTTATGTATTCTGATTTGCATTATAGAGAATTGTATCATTAGCATACGTTTCCTTCTCACACTATTGACTATCATTTAAGAGAGCTTCCACTGTTAAATGTTTTCTTCATCTTCACGGTTTTGGGCTGACACAAGACCCTCAAAATATCAAGTACCCAAGAAGCATTTACTGATTTACATTTTTGTTGTTGTTATTTAGTATTCTACTCTGAGAGGATTTAGAAAGACCTGTTTTGGGTGTGATACATGAGATTTGGAAACTGTAAAAATACTTATGACAGTGAAAGTGCACTTATTGTTTGGAGTACAGAAATTCCAACTGGAACAAAATTCACGAGTTTTCTCATTGTTCCTGCTGGTTAAGGACAAAATTTTATAATACATATGTAGGGCTTCACTGGTATCGCAGTGGTTAAGAATCCACCTGACAATGCAGGGGACACGGGTTCGAGTCCTGGTCCGGGAAGATCCCACGTGCTGCGGAGCAACTAAGCCCGTGCACCACAGCTGCTGAGCCTGCGCTCTAGAGCCCACGAGCCACAACTACTGAAGCCCACGCGCCTAGAGCCCGTGCTCCGCAACGAAGAGTAGCCCCCGCTCTCTGCAACTAGAGAAAGCCTGCGCAAAGCAACAAAGACCCAACACAGCCAAAAATAAATAAATTAATTTTAAAAAATACCTATGTATATATGTGTGTGTGTGTATGTGGAGAAAATGCAAAATGTATTAAAATACAAAATATCAAGTTTATGCATATGTGTATATAAACACCCTAAGATTATAACCACCCTTGAATATGGCATCTATATTATCCTTTCATATCAATCACAAGAAAGTCGGTAAAGCATATTTACTCCATTGATGCTTCCAATGCTTTGAAATAACTGGACCCTAACCTCTTAAAAGGTTACGAACAGCTTCATAAAAAAAGGTTGGGGGGAATTAGTGAATGCTAGATTATTGATAGGTTGTGTAAACATATGCACTTCATTTGAAAATATAATTGGAATAACTCTGCTTTTCTAAAACAAGATAATAAAATTTTAACAAGAAATCCTCATTAAAGGTTATAAAAAAAGATTTCAAACTATTTCTCATCTTAGGCCTGGTACTTTAAATTTTTGTATCCAGCTATTTATGTAAACTGAAATTTTCCATGATATAGATGATGATAAATTGAATGGTTTTTAAAGCAGCTTAATTTGAACACGGCATGTGCAATGGGAAATATTTTTAATTTTATTATTCAGTAGAGATGAAACTGTATAACTGACACACGCTTAATGTTGAATAAAATCATATCAGTTAACATGAGTATGGGAAGACAAACCATCCAAGACTGACCCACTTAAGAGAAATAATGAGACGTAAAATTAAACACTAACCTTAAAAGGAAAGGTACCTCGCTGAACTTAGCAATCCTGTCACTGCTAAGTGTGATAAGCAAAGGTCGGCTTCAGTTTGGTTGGAGTTTGAGATGTGAGCAATGTGAGAAACAGCTACAAGATAAGTTAAACTTTAACAAGGAGAACTTTATATGTCAGAGGGAGGACTTTTTTCCTTAGTTCATCGGGCAATACAAAGCTCTAAAGATGTTTGAGCAGAACGCCGTGATCTCAGCTTTATTTTAAAGAAGTTCACGTCATGACAAGTGAATAAAGAATGGGATACTGGATTACATCCTGAACCGAAACAAACAAACAAGAAAAGGTGGGACAACTGGCAAATCTGAATAAGGCCTCTAGATTATAGTAACTTATCAATGTCAATTTCTTGATGTGGGTTCCTGGTACTACTGTGGTTATGAAAGGATGTTCCTTGTTTAGGAAACATACATTGAAGTGTGTAAATACAAAGGGTCATCATCATCTCTGCAACTGTATTTTAAATGTTTCAGAAAAAAAGTGTCTCGTGAGCACACACACAGTGGGAGAGGGAAAATAAACCTAGTGTGATGAAGTACTAACCTTTGGGGCACTGGCATGAATGGCGTACAGGAATTCTTTGTAATAGTTTTGCACGTTTTTCTGGAAGTCTGAAACAAGGTAAAAAAAGTTTTTAAAAAAGAAAAGTAATACGTACACTACACACAACAGGTTAAGAGATGACCAGGCTGTGGAGTCTGCACACAGCATCTTGACAATCTAAAGACATTACCAGAATTTAAGATGTAGACATCTTTCAACTCAGCAACTCCACGTCTGGCATCCACTTCACGGAAATATACGCATGTGTGCACAAAAATATTTAGTACAATGCTATTTTGTATTAGAAAAGAAAAACAATCAAAATTCATGTTTAAAAAGAAGCTAAATTCAGACACATTCATGCTATAGAATAATAGGAGGTAAAAGATTTATCAGCATACAATAGATCCTCACATAGAAAGAGCTCCAAAATATAGGAGATGAAAAACAAATCGCAAAACCATACATATGGTAAAATCTCATTTACGTTAAATCCCATTACGTTATCTTTTATATTTAAAAGGTAGATAGAGGTTGTAGATGCCTAGAGGTCACTGTGGTGACCTCTGGGAAAAGAGAAAGGTTTGAAGATAGAAGGTTATGACAACGTTAAGGGCTTACGTAATTTAGACACACCTGTTTTTCTAATACGTCGGGATATTCACGTATTACTTATGCCATTACAAAATAAACATCACAAAGTAAGTTTGTAGACTGCTGTAATTGTCTGATGCATGGGAAAGGGAAACTGAATTAGGGTGGTGTCCGCAGAAATGGAGAAGCAGTAGTTGGTGTAAGGGGGGAAATTTTAGGACTTGGAACTTGACAGGGTATACCGTGTGACAAAGGAAGGCAGATGGCCCACGGGGGACTGGAATAGTGATGGCTTTACTGGAAACAGAAAATAAGAGAAGCGGCTGATTTGTAAGGAGAAGATCTTTTTTATTTTGGAAACATGGAATTTGCGATACTGACATCCAGGTAAATATACTGCAAGTTTCCTAGAAAGACATAATATGTAAAGTACACAGATCAGAACTACCCTGGGGTTAAGTGACTAAATTCTCAAGATAACAATAGAAAGCGACTGTTAGTGGACACCAATTGTACTACCTTATGATCATTGCGTAATGTTCCATTTGTAGTTATACATACACACTTAATCCTGGGATAGCTAGTTATATATATTTGGGTATTAAAATGGATCTTAAGAGGTTACAATATTGTATTACAGAAAGGAATTCATTCACATTATTTTCAAGAAATAAATTCTTATGGAATGAGAACTGTCTTCCATTTCATACATTTCCCACTTAAAACTCTATATCTAAATCAAACTCCCTAAAATGAATGAAATTGGCAAGAATGAAGAACAGAGATCATAAGCAAATATAATTATTATAACTACAAATTTAAACGGTCTAAGTATTATCCAAGACGCTTTTTCCTCTCAGAGTTTAAGATGTTATTGTCCGGGTCCTAGCAGGATGTTGAAGTCCATCAACAGGGCGACTTGTGGCATTTTTAAAGTGACTCAGGTGACTGTGCTTTTGCAACTAGAGGGTGCTGAAGGACCGCAGAGGACTAGATATATCTCGTCTTTTAAAGATTCAGTTATCAGTGACTCTTACAAATTAAAGTCTTCAATAAAATAACATCGAATTATAGATGCAATTTGCATAAACAATATGTAAACACATTTTATTATTGAATTGACAATCCAAACCCTCAGCTGCTGCAAACTCTCCAAATAATGTAAATACACTTATTTGGTCTTATGTTTATGTTACATGGATTACTGATAGTCCTAGTATCAGCTATGGAGAAATAAGAAGGTACATTGGCTCTGATATTACTAGGGAATACAAGTCTTATAGACCAGAAAGTACCTATTTTGCAAGTTGGAATAAGACCAAAGCAATTAATCCAAGTAGCCTGGACTTTTAGCAAGAAAGAAGATACAAATGGAGGTGAGATCTAACTAAGTAATCGTTTACTTAACCTTTAAATGTCTTGTAACAAAATCAAACACTATTCAAATAAGAACAAAAGAAATCCAGGAAAAACATTTAATTTTACTTTAAAAGATGTGAGCATTTTAATAAAATAAAGAAGTTAAAATCCTCTAATGATTATGGATTTTTCTTCCCAACTCAAGTTACTTCTAGTAATAAGGTATTTTCCTCTTGGTTTCTTACAAATGGTATGAAATCGCATATTCATTGCTATATTCCAATTCAAAATATTTATGACTCTTTTTAAGGCACAATGATTTTGTATACTCTGTATCAACAAAATAAAATCCATGAAAATATATCTAGGTTTTAAAGTGGACTAAATAGAATTTCTTTTATCAGAAATATTTAATCAATATATCTCCTTTTATTTTTATTTTATGAGAAACCAGAATTCAGCACGAATTTAGGTAAATCTAGATTTCCCTTTGTTTCAAAAATGCTCACTGGGCTTTATTATCTGGCATTTGACAACACAGGCACACTTTAAAATGAGCTGCTTTTGCAAATTAGGAATTTGTTTGAACTTTATTTCTCCACAGAGCTCATGTAGTTAGAGTTGATATACTTCTACTTATAAAGTTATACCATATGTAATATATTTTTGCTTTATCTATGATAATACCATCTAAAATTGTACAAGAATAAGATGGCTTTCTCCGAAAGTTACAAGGAAAGGGATCTGAAACACTACGTACATTGCGATGATGACAAAACAGGGTTCAGAGTGCACCCCATTTTATTATCAGAATTATCGGAATATTTGCAATTTACACTAACTGGAGAGAAATGTTCGGATTCTATTTTACGTAGTACGCTTATCCTCCATTTATTCCTAAAGCAATTATGTTTGCTTTACATAAATACATCATGATTAGAGCACAGACGTAACAAGATCATGCTGCCATTCCACATGATGAAGGCGCCATATTTGTATTACACTCCAATGGCATCCAAAATGCAATATATTGCTATGAAAATGCAAGGAATGTTCACAGATTGGCATTAATGAACGAGGTTGTTCACAATGCAATGGGACTTGACTTTATACGAATGGAAAAGGTTTATCATAAATATATAGACCAGTAGATAATGTTGAAGAATAAGAAGCAGAAAGGAAACAACGCTCTTGCATAAAGATCGATCCTCTTCGCTGCCGTCGGAATAACGGGTTTGGCAGGAGGCGGCTTCTTGTTATTCTTGGCCTGGGATTTCCCAAGTCCGTTGTTGACCTCAATGGGTTTTCCATAGCAGTCATAATTGGACAATTCAAAATCTCTCGGTAAGCTTCCCACGATGCTGAAGTCGTTAGATCTCAGATCAGACTTGGACGTACAAACCTTTTTGCATCTGGTCTCTCCAACCTGAGAATAAAAATTAAAGACAGGATACTTAGAATTTTTCTATTTATAAAACGTCTTCAAAAAGATATTTTAAAAATCTGATGGTTTATTCAGTTGACTATTATGTCTCTTTGTCAAACAGAAATAATAGTCAACTGATTAAAGCACGGAATTACCTGAACATTTAGGGCTCTAAAACGTTGCCTATACAACAAGGCTTACGTCATGGAATAAACTTTTGGTAGGTTATTTTATGTTAAGGGATCAAGGCGCAAATCATCCTTTATCTTAGGTGCTCCCAGGCTTGTGAGAGTTCTCAGTTGAAAGACTGACCGATAAATGAAAATCCAACATTTAACCATGACACAGATCATATTAGCAGAACATACGGAATACAAACGTCTTCTGGTACCTCTGACCTTTGATTTCCCCAGGGATCCTATTGCCAAATTGGGTTGTTTATAAAAGACTGAGGCATTTATCCTTGCAATGAGACAGACTGTGTCTCTAAACCACACTCACAAGTAAGAACTAAAAATGGTCACAATGATCATGAACCAAAGATTGACCAACGAAAGGCATTCCTCACTTGCCGCCTGAAGATGAATTAGCCAGAGAATCCAAACTCAGAAAATCCAAAGAAACTGTGGCTATTTCAGCCAGATCATATGCTACAGAGACTGTTCAGTTAATCATCTCTGAAGTACTACATTTGACTCAATTCTCTACAATATACAAAATCATTATTTCACACTGAACTCTCTCTGGCCGTCAGAAAAGCTCGTGGAAAAGACAGAGGCTGACCAGTGGCTTAAGGAAAGGCCACAGAAGGGGGAGCCCATGATTCCACTGCTTCATCTTTCACTGTTCTTACTCCCGACCTTTGTGATTCACCTTGGGAATCTTCACTAAAATATTTACTGTTTCACCGAAAAAGGAAACCATGTCATTGTACACTCTTAGTACACTCTAGTCTTTGCCTTAGTTACACAATACATTGACTACTTATGTGGATTCTATTCACATTTACTAGGTTATGGCTGGGTAAAAATGATGCTTAATGTAAGATGTAAAACAAATCATTCCCCAGCAGCCCTTCAGGTACCAGGACGGCATCCTTTATCCGAACAAACACTGAGGCATATTTTCTGGGCAAAAGCCAGATGGCAGTGCTCAGAGGTGGAGAGCAAAGGTAACCAACATACACTGAGTGAAAACACAAATGAAAATGTGTCACCACATCCTCTGGCTTTATACATTTAGGTTTTTTTTTGTTTGTTTGTTTTCAATTTTGAACAAGTGCTGGTAATGTTATTTTTTTAAGCTGATCTATGAATGTTGGCTTTATTATTATATCTTTATGCCACATAGATATTTGTACAATCCTGTTGGGTAAGAACTTTTGAAAAAGATGTTTATGTAAATATAATTGTACAAAAGTACACAAGAAAATGTTGATAAGTAGGAATGGGGATTGACGCACTGGAATTTCATCCTTTCTGAATGTCTTATAGGTTAAAAAAAAGTGAATCACCAACATATTACAATATTTAGAAAGTGTCGATTTAGTTCCGTCCTGGTTTGACGGGACTTGGAGCTAAAGGAGGCCAGCTGGAAGAAAGAGGATTACCGTTCCCCGTTTTTTAATGTACAGTCCCAGCTTCCCCATGGTGAGAACCCAGTGGAGCTTAAAGAGCAGTTATATCCTGACGGAGCCACCATTGGTCCGGGCTCTGGTCCACATCAATTTAACCCAGTGTCTAGGAAAATGTCTGGCAAAAAATAGGGACTGATCAATGGAATGAGACAGAACAAAGCTAGCAACGAGACTCTAAGTTATTTAAATGAGACTTTGGGAAATCGTTCATGTATATATTATATATATGTATATATATATCACAAATCGTGAAAACATGTATTTAAAATTTACTTCCAGGCCTTTTATTTAAATTCCCCAATTTGAAATCTTAAAAGGTCACTCTCAGCAAGCAGTCTGTCACCTAAGCTCTGTCTCCACACACACATATACACACGTTCACACTCACATACCCTCCTGGTAAGTGTCCCAGACAGAAGACCGCATTTGAAGCTCTGGTTTTCCAGGACTGTTTGACGAATGGGTAAGTCTCAGTGTGTGTCAGCGAACTCGTGTAAAGACTGAATCACGACTTGATCGGAAGAGAAGTTGGGAATAGCCTCTCCATATCAAACCTTTGTACTATTCTCAGACTCTCAGAGCAGCCTGCAAGCTCTGGGACTCCGTGGGTGTCCCAGGCTCTCTCTCACTTAGAATCCTCTGCTCCAAGAGCACTAACTGTGCTTTAGAATCACGTATCAAAACAAAGGAGGACTCTGGCTTCTGACAGCAACTCAGGAAGTGTGACTCCTACCAGTTCTTTTTTGCACAAAGAAGGCCATACATATTTACTACAGAAATGCATTTACTCTGAACCGTATTTTATTCATGGCTTTAGGGGTAGTTTCAGTATCTATAAGTAACTGGACAAGTAGCCCAATTTATATGATATTATAACCTAAGTCACACATATTAACACTTCAAATTTTCTAGTGTTTTGTTTACATAAACACATTCTTAGATTCTGCCAGCAATTTTGTTCGTTTTTTGTTTGTTTGTTTGTTTTGCAGTACGCGGGCCTCTCACTGTTGTGGCCTCTCCCGTTGCGGAGCACAGGCTCCGGACGCGCAGGCTCAGCGGCCATGGCTCACGGGCCCAGCCGCTCCGCGGCATGTGGGATCTTCCCGGACCGGGGCACGAACCCGCGTCCCCTGCATCGGCAGGCGGACTCTCAACCACTGCGCCACCAGGGAAGCCCTGCCAGCAGTTTTAATCATTATATAATTGTACCTACACAGCTCATTCAAAATGTAGACATAGAATGTTACATTTATTCCAAGAGATTGTTTAAATATAGGAAATAGTTAAGGGAAGAATAATTACTTCAATGTTGAAGTGATAACAGGAAAAATCACTCCCAAAAACTTCAGTTTGGTTACACTAAATGCTTAGTCATTTAGTTTATTGAACACTCTTCTATAAACGTATTTGCAGATTCTTATATTTGAAATGAGGGGTGTGTGTGTGTGTGTGTGTGTGTGTGTGTGTGTTGGTGAAGAGTAGGTCTACTGCAGAAGTAATTTTTAATGACGTGTCAGAGCTGAATAAGCAATAAAATTAGGTTCCATACTGAGAAGTCCTCTAGTTGCTTAAACAGCTCATAATTCATTACCTCATTCGCTGGTCTCTTCTTCTGCTCATCAGAGACTTTACACAAACACAACTTTCTTTAGTTAATACTCTCCACACATCATTATCAAATCAAACATGTACATAAGAGTACAAAGAGTTTACAATATAAATGCTATTTTAAACAATTATAATATCACACGCAGAGGGATTAAATGAGCTACTTATAAGTAAGACAGCAACCCCACTCCACACATTCTTAAAAGTGACCTTGGTTCTGCAGATCTCCCATTTACACTTTCCCCATTTTTCCTCATATGAAAAGGTGTCTCATTTACTTTCATCATATAAACTTGTCACTTCTGAAAATTACCGGTAGCAAAAATGAGGTACTACGATAATGAGGCTGTCCAGGATAAAAAATGATGAAGATAAGAACTTCCAAAGGCTTCCCACTGTAGCCTCTCAGATTTTCTTTGTGGTCCTTTCCAGCTTGAATCTGCACACAGGTAAAAGCGATTCACCCGAGGCGATATTTCTGGGCCAGAAGACTTAGGTGTGACTTCACGGTGGTAACAACAGAGAACTTACTAGAAAAATGAGCAGAGCCTCACTGGTGACGTGTGGGCCTGTAACAGACCATCTAACATCTGTGTCGTCACAGTCCTAGAAGGATGGAGGAAAGGTACTCAAAGGAATAACAGCTGAAAACTTCTCCCATTTGGCAAGAAGCATGCGCCTGCATTTTTTTCTAACAAGCTGAACAAACCCCAAACTGGATGAACCCTAAAAAAAACACTCCAAAATACATAATTAAACTTCTGAACATTAAAGGCAAAAAAAAAAAAAAATCTTGAAAGCAGCCAGAGAAAAATGACATTTTACCTAAAGGAGAAAAACAGTGTGAATGAAGCAGAGTTCTTCTCAGAAGCCACAGAGTCCAGAAGGAATGGGCACAATACTTTTTAGGTGTCAAAGGAAAAGATCAAGGATCCTATTCCCAGTGAAGAGATCCTTTGGGAATGAAGGGAAACCAAGACATTCCCGGATGAAGGAAACTAGGAGGATCTGTTACCAGCAGCGCTACCCAAAATAATGGATAAAGGCAATTCTCTAAAAGGAAAGAAACAATAAAAGATAGAACGTTGGAATATCAGAATGGAAGAAAGATCAAAGTAAACAAAACTAGGCACAAATACAATAAACGTTCCTTCTCTCTCTGAGTTTTCCAAATTATGTGTGATGGTGAAGCAAAAAGTGTAACACTTTCTAATTAGGTTCTAAGAAGTATTTACAATAATTTTGTCATGTGAAGAGGAAAGCAAAAGGTGTTAAAGGGAGGTAGCATTTCTACACATCACACAAAGTGGTAACAGAGTGACATCAGGAAACTGTGATAAAGTCATGTGTATATAATGGGACACCTGGAGCAGCCTCCAAGCAAGAGAGTGACATGCTTACAAACAATACAGGAAACTCCACATGTCATTCTAGGAGCTGTTCAAGCAGTCCACATGGAAGAAGGAGAAAGAAGAAAGAGATTAAAAATAGAACAAATAGGACACAAAATATACACCCTGAGAAAACCATGATTCAAAACGACACATGCACCGCAATGTTCATTGCAGCACTATTTACGATAGCCAGGTCATGGAAGCAAGCTAAGTGTCCATCGACAGATGAATGGATAAAGAAGATGTGTCACATATATACAATGGAGTATTACTCAGCCATAACAAGGAACGAAACTGGGTCATTTGTAGAGACGTGGATGGACCCAGAGTCTGTCATACAGAGTGAAGTAAGTCAGAAAGAGAAAAGCAAATATCGTCTATTAATGCATATATGTGGAACCTAGAAAAATGGTAGAGATGAACCTATTTGCAGGGCAGGAATAAAGGTGCAGACGTAGAGAACGGGCATGTGGACATGGGGGTTGGGGGATGAATTGGGAGATTGAGATGGACGTATACCCACCACCACGTGTAAGTCAGATAAGTAGTGGGAACCTGCTGTGTAGCACAGCGAGCTCAGCTCAGTGCTCTGTGGTGACCTAGATGGGTGGGACAGGGGTGGAGAGGGGAGGCCCAAAAGGGAGGGGATATACGTACACATACAGCTGATTCACTTCGTTGCACAGCAGAAACTAACACAACATTGTAAAGCAACTATACCCCAATAAAAATAATAATAAAATTAAAAAAAATAAAATAGACTGAAGCCCTAAATATATCAATAAGTTCATTAAATTTAAATGATCTAAATATACAAACTAAAACGTGAGAGGGCTTCCCTGGTGGCGCAGTGGTTGAGAGTCCACCTGCCGATGCAGGAGAGGCGGGTTTGTGCCCCGGTCCGGGAAGATCCCACATGCCGCGGAGCGGCTGGGCCTGTGAGCCATGGCCGCTGACCCTGCGTGTCCGGAGCCTGTGCTCCGCAACGGAAGAGGCCACAACAGTGAGAGGCCCGCGTACCACACACACACACAAAGACAAAAAAATAAAAAAAGACCTGCAGACAGCATCACGTAAGAACAGTTTGCTTGCCTCTGTCTATAAAACCGTGTCTAACGTTCTAGGTGTTGGTAGGAGTGGCGGTCAGCAAATGGACATGGTCTGGGGCCAGATGCAGGCAAGGTTTCCAAGGCTGTAGGATGGTCTGGACCTGTTAGTCTCTTGTGGAACTTACCATGCTACGTTCAGTGGAAATGGTCCCCTGGCCTAGGGTCTTCTCAACTAGAGGTCATCAAGTACAGGCATGCTGGAGTGAGTGGACCACTGTCCTCAATCCATGACGTGGTCTGTGGCTCCAGGATGTATCAGTACCTGAATCTAGAGGCATGGTCCGCTCTTCTTAGACCCATCACCAAGTGACAAGGCAAGGTCATGGGTTTTAACTGTTCAGTTCTTCTCTAGCTACTCACTGCGCTGGGCAAATCCCAAGCCATGGGCATAGTTTCCCTATGAGCCAGGCACCCAGTAAAGAAGTAGCCTGCCTGACATGAGCATTGTGAGGCTCTCCAACTTGATGGGGAATGGGTGGGAGATTGACTCAAGAACGTGGGCCCCGGAAGCCTTCAGCCCCCCAGCCATTCACAAAGGTTTGTCAAATGAGAAAGAGTAGGAAGGTCTGTCACTTGGGCAAGGCCTCCACATTCAGCGGTGACCATCAGAGCAAAGGAACTGAAGCATCCTTAAACTCCACGGAAAGTTCTCCAGTCATTTGATAAAGTGTTAATTTTTTTCTCGGTTACTATTGGACCTAACTGTTTTCTATTCTTTTCCAAACAGTAGGTTGTGCTTAGTCCCTTTGCATCTGTGAGAGAAAAACGAGTGAGAACCAATTCTACCAAACCTTTAAACCCGCAGAACGCACTTTGCTGGCCGACGTCATCCTTACCTGTAAGGTGCTGATGTGAACAGGTGTGCCCGTGCCATTCACAGTGTTCTTCTTAGCTGCACTCCCCGCCTTCCCATCTGCTTGCTCAGCCTTGGCAATTCTGGCTTTTTCCGCTTCGACTCTCTTGGGGTTATTGAGCATCACCTGGACGACCGCGTACTCCACCAGGGACGCAAAGCCGAAGAGCAGACACGCGATGAGCCACACGTCCAAAGCCTTCACGTAAGACACCTTGGGAAGTTCCGCAGCCAGGGTTGTGCACTCAGAGGCCAAGCTGAGCACTGAGAAGATTCCTGCCGGACAGGAACAGGAAGTCAAGCTGCTTTTACTCCCGTGAAATGTTCTACAATCACTGCTCTTTGATGAAATCCCCCTCCGATAACGTTCAATGCCCCTCAGGTCCCCTTAAAACTCAAAGAGTAGAAGAAATACCATGTACTTGCTTCTTATGTAAGAATTATTGAATGTGGGTGGTATGTGTGTAAACACTTAACATTTAAAAAAATAAATATTTATTTTTTATTACCCTAATAATGAAAGATGTACTTGGTTCTCTTTGCTCTTGCATTGGGAATACAGGAAACACTATATTAGTATCAATAATCATTTAAAACATTGAAAAATATATATTCCACCAGTTGCATCATTTCAGAGGCTCCTGAAAGGTGTGGAGTTTTGCGGATTTTTTTTTTTTAATATTGAAGAACTAAGAGACTCTCTCCTAGAAAGAAAGGCTTTTAGTAAAATATAACTTCTGCAGATTGAAACAATATTACATATATATATATATATATATATATATATATATATATACACACACACACACACATATATTACTATTCTATTGTAATTATCCTCTATCCTGAAGAAAACTAATGAACAGGACTATGTTTTAAAAGTTAATATAGGTTTTAACATTTTCTAACCTGGAAGTGAAAAGTAACATAAAAATACAAGATCTTCTCAAACATTGCCCTAAACTCAGTTAATTATACCTATGGGCATTAATTTAGCAAATCATATTCCCAAGTTATTTTTTTTGTTCTTAATCAAATGTTATGTCAGCTTATCAATCAATCAAAAACAAGCCTTGAAGTAGCATATATTGACACCATTCTCTGTGTTTCCATAGCATTTCATGCTCATCAATAACACAGAATGTATCAAATTGTGGTAAATTTAGTAGTATACCTGAATCTTTATCCTGATATATTAGCAACTTTATGAATGAAATGGAGAATAGTGCCAGATTATAGAAGGCCTTCAAAGTCCTAGGGTGGATCTTTTATCGTATTTGGCAGAGAAATGACATTATCAAGAGAATATTTCAATAACGTCACTCTTCTAGGGATAAAAAAATAAACTGAGAAAGAAAAATATAGGAGATGCAGAAACAAAGAATAAGAAAATGAAGGATAGGATGAATGTGAAAGGATTTTGGAGAAAACATTTTTTAAAACTTGATTACTGTTTAAAGGAAGAAGGAAAAGATTGAGACAAACTTCTAAACAGAATGACTGGGAAAATACCCATGAAATATAGGAAGAGGAGAATACAGAAAAGATGTGACTTTGGAAAGAAAACACCGAGTTAGGCCAGATAAAGGCCGAGAAACAAAGAACTGGTGACCACGACTCAGCACAGGGCACTCAGGACCTTCTTGAAGGACAGATTGGCCAGTATCGTTCAGGGGAGGTTGTGGTGGAAAGGGAGGGGACTCCAGAGAGGCTCAGGCATCAGAAAAAGGAGGTCAAAGGAGCAGAGAAAGATTCAGAATAATAGGATATTAATGGACATTTGGGAGATATTTATAATCCCAGGCGTTACGTTAAAAACCATGGTGACCAATTCCAATAAGATCTGTATCATTTCGAAGATGTAAGAATGGAAATGGAGATCAGTTGAGAAGGAAGAGAATGTGGACCTCCCTGTGTGCCTTGTCTTCAGGAAATCACATTAAAATAGGAAACGTCCACTTGCTTTTTTATCCTAAAATAAGAAATCTGAGCCAGTATTTCTCCGGACAAATATTTCAGCCTTATCTTAACATGGCCTTCAGATGAGATTACGTCATTGTTTAAGTAACTCATAGTGAGATGCTGCCTGAATTTTACTACATTATGAACCAATAAAAAGAAATGTGAAACCCATCATTCAAAAAAATGGGGATATTTATAATTTCAATATTGTGTTCTTAATATATTATCCCCACTTAATGGAGCACCTCTCTAATAAATTCCAGGACTTCTTGGTATAATTTTTCTATAACGTGTTTAAAACATATAGTCCTTATCTGTCATTTGTTACTTTCTCTCCCTAATGCAAAAACAAACCAAGTCTAGATTTCAAATCAGGGAGTATGTCGTAAAATTGCTATCAACTCTGATAAACAGGAGTGAGGTCTACATCTACTAAAAGTTATGGCTAACAAATAATATAAATCAAAGTATTAATAAATTAACTACATAAAATAGTTAACCTGAATAAAAACTTCTATAAAGAATCCAGGGTGAAGATAAAGTTGTTTAGCTCATCAATATGCAGAAAGAACTTTATAGTGATAAAATCCTTATTTAAGAGACCACTATTGATAGTGAACTCCCATTGACTATGGGATGTCCAGAGATTTCTCGTTCAGACAATCTCAGAGGAAACATCTGAAAAATAATTCTTTAATAGCATATACTCTAGCAATCTATTGCCTAAAAGAGGAATACCAAAACCTAGAAGACTGAAAAAGGAAAGCAAGAAAAAGGGTGAAAAAAGAAAAGGAAAAGAAAGGGGAGGTAGAGATTTTTTTTTGTATTTCATTCATTTATTTATTTTATTTCTTTTCCTTTTGGCTGTGTTGGGTCTTCGTTGCAGCCCGCAGGCTTCTCTCTAGTTGTGGCATGCGGGTTTTCTCTTTCTAGTGTCTCATGCAGGCTCCAGAGCGTGTGGGCTCTGTAGTTTGTGGCACGCAAGCTCAGTAGTTGTGGCGCGTGGGCTTAGCTGCCCTGCCGCACGTGGGATCTCAGTCCCCCAACTAGGGATCGAACCCACGTCCCCTGCAATGCAAGGCGGATTCTTTACCACTGGACCACCAGGGAAGTCCCGGTAGTATTTTTTATTAACAACAAATGGAACCAACAGAGCAAATCAAGGAGAAATGGTGCCCAACAGCTACTGTCTAACCCTGAAATCATCTTTATCCCATACTGAGACAAACTACACTATGCAGCAAATTCTTATACGGAGTTGTGATTAATAACATGAAAATTCATTTAGAAATACTGCTGAATTATTACATCAGCATGTTATCATTGCACAGCATTCTAATCAAAGGATACTAAAAGGCAAACTACAATTACTACCATGTGGGAATCCAGAAATAATACCTGACATTTTTGAAAGAGATCTTTATAATCAAAAAGATCTTGAACCACTGTTCCAGATGATAAGAAAAGACTATAATAAGGAAGAAAGGTACTGTGTGTGACCTGCTAGAGGTCTGAATTGCGACCTGAATTATTCATCTTTTTACATTTATAATTAAAAAGTATTGTTTAAAAAAAATCCTTTTTAGCAGCAACTAAACCATTTCATGTACCAGAAAAAGAATGTGTTACAAGTAAAGTTTACGTAGGGTAAAAAGTGTAAGATGTTACCTCCACAGTTACTTTTATACTTAAAGAAATAGCTGAAGACAAAGTCTACCTAAAGTTCGCAGAGGAAGCTTTGATACTTGTTAACAATAGGAAAGGTAAATCAAAAAGAGATAGGAAGAAAAATAAAACTAGAACGCAAGACTGATTTTATTTTAAAAAGCAAAATGAGTCTAGGGCAAATGATATGTGTTCTTCTCCTAAATTTTAGAAAATAAAAATTATAGCCCATAGAAGGAAAAGATTGGCAAATTGATTTCATAATCTTTTGGAACAACGTAGGGGAAAAAAAGTAGAAAAAGGAAAGATACACTGGGTCAAAATAGCCGTATTGACAGAATATCCTGATATTTAATCTGTCAGTAATATTATTTCTTTTTTCTTTTTAGATAAAATTATATATATGTGTGGGTCTAATCACAGAGTCTCAAAATACCTGAAGCATAATTCCATAATTAGAGTTGGGGATTTTAACAACTTTCTCATCAATAACTATAATAACTAGACAAAAGACATAAAAGATTTTAACAGTACTATCAACCAACCTGACTCCACTCATATCTACAGAATTCTACACCCAAGAGTGACAAATATACAGTGCAAGTGACATGGGATGTTTGCCAGGAGACATATGCTGGGCTGGACCATCAACAAACTCTCAGTAAACATAAAAGGATTGAAATCATAGAGTATGTTCCCTGACAAAATTAAAAACAAATCATATCTGAGTACTTATGAAAACGTTAAATATTTGGAATCCAAACTACACATATATAAAGAATCCGTGGGCCAAAGAAGAAATCACAAGGGAAATTAGAGAATATTTTTTTAATGAAGGAAGATGAAAATACAGTATACCAAAATTTGTGCACTGCAGCTAAAGCAGGACTTACAAGGGAAATTTGTAACTTTAAATGCCCATGTTAGAAAAGAAGAAGGGTCTAAAATCGGATATCTGAGTTTCCACTTCAGTCATCAAAAAGAGATCAAATAAAATCCAGACTGAGTAAAAAGAAATAATAAAGATAAGAGCCAAAATCAATGAAAAAGAAAAATAAACAAATAGATAGAAATGAATGAAATGAATGCCGATGTTTTGAAAATACCAAGAAAACGGATAAGGCTTTATCTAGAGTGGTCAAAAAAAAAAAAAAAGAATTCACAATTTAACAATATCAGTACGTAGGAATGAATACTTCACTACAGCTAGACATGAAAAGGAAAAACAAATGTTATGAACGTGTTTGTGCTAATAATTTTATCTACTCACCTAATAGCTAGGAATCAATTGGTAAAATTTGCCAAAATAAAGGAAAAAACCATATAAACCTTTAAATATACTCAGAGAAAGCATTGAAGCATTTGGCAAAAGTCAACAGTCATGATAAAAACCCTCTGCCAACTAGGAAGAGAAGGGAACCTCTTCAACCTGATTAAGAGATCTGTAATAACTAGAGCCACTATTACACGCAACAGTGAATACTTCAACTATGTCTACCCAGAATCAGGAATAAGCATCTCTCACAACTGTATTCAACATTGGACTAAGGTCGAAGGCACTACAAGAAGTAAAAAAAATCAAGTATTTGGGGAGTATATGACACAGGAGTACGGATCAGGCAAAACGGTACCATTATTTTGATAAACAC